CTAGAGGCCCACAAGGCTGTGTGTCCCCCTTGACGAAATCCTGGCTACGCCCCTGCAAAGAACATCGTATGGAAAGCTGGCACACGTCGGCTGGAGAGATGGGGTGCGTCAGCTAGAAACAGAACGACAGCGGGGATTTGTCAATTGAATAGCCAGCGAACGTTGGCTGGAGAGCGGGGGCGCATCGGCTGGAGAGCTGGCGAACATCGGCTGGAGAGCGGGAGTGCGTCGGCTGGAGAGCTGGGGCGCGTCGGCTGGAGAGCGCGGTGCGTCGGCTGGAGAGCTGGCGAACGTGGGCTGGAGAGCGGGGGTGCGTCGGCTAGAGAGCTGACGAACGTGGCTGGAGAGCGGGGGTGCGTCGGCTAGAGAGCTGACGAACGTCGGCTGGAGAGCGGGGGTGCGTCGGCTGGAGAGCTGGCGAACGTGGGCTGGAGAGCGGGGGTGCGTCGGCTGGAGAGATGGCGAACGTGGGCTGGAGAGCGGGGATGCATCGGCTGGAGAGCTGACGAACGTCGGCTGGAGAGCTGACGAACGTCGACTGGAGAGTGGGGGTGCATCGACTAGAGAGCTGGCGAACGTCGACTGGAGAGCGGGGGTGCGTAGGCTGAAGCGCGAGCGAAGGTCGGGTGACACCGGACCAACGTCGGCCCGGTGTTCATGTCCGCTGGACGTCGGCATATGCGATTATCGGTCCGGGCGACGTCGTCATGTTGATTCGATATCCAGCAGCTGCCTTGTGGGGCCAGCAAGGAAATTTGCATTACATGTATGGAGAAGTGGAACGCAAATACCAGTTTCTGGAGTCCTCGTTTCGATTCATTTCGATCGGTACAATTTACATTCTATGAGATGTTGGAATGCAAACTAATAACATTATTACACCCGTATGTAGTGCTAAGCAATTAGTATTGAGTTGATTTATTCTCGCCCAGATCATTGAATGAGACGTCAATCACAGAACCTGCCTGTTGTGTTAGCCATGGAAGTCCCCACCAATCAGTACATTGATAGCAGCAATGGTTTCCGCAATTATTTCATGACTTTCCTTCCTCCGGTTCCAACTGGATAGGAAGCTACACTCTTGGTTCATGTGGTGACTAAAATAGTATAATGTGAGCACAACATAGTAAAAATAGAGGAAACCGAATGTGCTCCCAGATCTGACAACACTTCTTCCGCCAGAAGAAGTACAAAAGGAGTGAAAATACCTAAAAGTGAGGTAAAATGACACACAACGTTGCATACCACAAAAGGACCCGAGTGTTTAGCAAATGTATTCAGAAATAGCCCGAAAATAAATTATTCCCTTTTCAGAGATCGGCACACACACTGTGCAGAGTATGCTGAGTGATATATGCACCATATTTCCAGCATCCCTTGAACCAGCATCCTGTGATTTGGAGGACTCTAGTCCTTAGTTTAGGACCTTAGCCCTTAATCGTACCTTAGTTTCACTGAAAGGAATTTAAAAATGGTGCATGAGTCTATAATCTTATCAGTAATTGATGAATATGAATGATTCCTCCGTGCATACAGTGCACAGAGGAAGGGTATGCGCACAGGCGTCAATGCAGGGCGGATCCAAAGATGGGGGGTGGGGGTGGGGGTGGCACGGGGCCATGACCCCCTTGTGCCCCGAAGGGACTCACTGGCTCCGAGGGGGCCCATGGCCGGCTGAACAAGTGCAGTTTTTTTTAACACAAAACGCAACAAAGCTGTGTATATCTCCACTTTCAGGCGACCAATAACGGTTATAAACGAAAGTGAAGAGTCTATGAGAAGTAAACAAAAAAAATCATTCAGTGATTGGAAAAGTTGTGGACTGGAAGTTTTAAGCCTCATAATAGTGTCTAGGGGCCCCATGCTGTTTCCCGGAGACCTATATGCCCACTTGCAGGATTAGTTCGATCGTTAAGGAGCATTCCACTTTGCCCTTGATTTCTTTGCATTTGCTCGGAGGGCCTTACGCTCTTGACGGGGGCCCTGTATGTTAACCTGCTCTGACGCACTGGATCAATCGGGGGTTCTCTGCGTTGGATCTTCAATACTTCCTTACTGAATGGAGGGCCCTACGTTCTTTTTGTGAACTTTTGTCTGTTGACCTGCTCGGGCACACTCGATCATTCGGGGTCCCTCTACATTGGGTCTGGGATACCTCTTATTTGAATGGGGGGGGGGGGGGGGACGGGCTACGTTCTTGTCGGGGGCCTAACTGATAACCTGCTCGGGTACATTTGATCGTTAGAGGGCCCTCTACATTGGGCCTTGGGCACGTGCTTTTTGAATGGGACCGTACGCACTCGTTCGGGGGCCTCCTATGTTCGCCTCACTGGCTACACTGGATTGCCCGGGGGCCCTGCTTATTGGTTCTTGGTGTTTGAATTTAAGGCCCTCTGCCCCCATCCGGTCATCTGATAACCTGTTCGGGTACACTCCATCCTTCGGGAGCCCTTCACACCGGATTTTGTGTACTTTTTATTTGAATGGAGGGCATTAAGCTCCTCTCGGGGCCCTTTCTGATAAAATGCCCGGGCCCATTCGATCGTGGGGGCCTCTGCATCTAGTTTTGGGCACTTCCTTTTTTAATGGAGGGCCAACCGCCCTTTTCGGGGCCATATCTGTCAACCTGCTCCGGCGCACTCCATCATTGTACCCCCTATGTACATTGGGCCTTGGGTACTTCCTATTTCAATGGATAGCCCTGCACTCTTGACTGGGGACCTATATGTTAACATGCTCTGACGCACTGAATCATTCGGGGGTCCTCTGCATTGGGTCTTAAATACTTCCGATTTGAATGGAGGGCCCTACGCTCTTTTTGGGAACCTTATCTGTTAGCTCGGGTACACTCGATCACTCGGGCCCCTATACATTGGGTCTTGGGTACTTCCTATTTGAATGGAGGGCCTCACGCTCCTGACGGGTGCCCTATGTGTTAACCTGTTCAGGCGCACTTGATTGTTCAGAGCCCTACATATTACGTCGTAAATATTTCTTATTTGAATGGATGGCCTTATGTTCTTGGCGGGTCCCACCTATTCAGCTGCTCAGGCCGGTGGCGTATGCAGAAAGTGGGGGGTGGGGGGGTGGGGGTGGGGGGTGGGGAAAGGCACAGAACCATGCCCCATGGACCATGCTAGAGATACCTAAAGGCTCTGAAAGGGTCATAACCGGCCGGATGGACGCAGTTTTCTGACAAAAAAGAAAAACAACACAAAATTGAATGCCTTTGGGCCTACAGACGACCAATAACCAATTTTGGCAAAAGTAAAGAGTTCATAAGTAAACGAAGTCCATTCTTCGCTGATTGAGGAAGTGCTGCTTGGAGAAATTTTGGCGTTCATTACGCTGTCTAGAGGCATTATGCTGTAGGTTGCCTGGCCCTATATGTCCACTTGCCGGGTCAATCTGGTCGCTAAGGAGCTTTCCACGTTGTTCTTCATCGCTTTGCATTTTCTCATAGGGCTCAATGTGCTGTCGGGACGCTATCTGCCTCCGTGCCTGAGCACTGTTGATCGATCAGCTTTTCCGTCACGGATTCTTCCCATTCGTTCGAAAGGCTCTATACACTTTTTCCGGGGTCCAATATGCCAGGGTACACCCAGTTGCTCAGGGGCTTTCCACTTGCTTGAAGGGTCTTGTGCTGTTGCTAAGGCTCTTGTAAGGTAAGACACGGAGACACTCGATGCTCAGGGGCCCTCTTCTTTGATCACGGGCTCTCTTCCTTCGGTCTCATTTGCGGGGGACTCTTCATTCCTATTGAGGCTCGTCGCACAGGGGTATTAATTCATGGTCTTGGAAAATTCCCTTTTGCTCGTAGGGTCCTGCGATATGGCCGGGGCCTAACATGTCGGCCAGCCGGGGCACTTTTTGCTTGCTTTGAGAACCCTATACTTGTTAACGAGAGCCACTTTGTTGGCCTCCTGTGGCACCCATGATCGCTCAGGCTCCGTCCCCATTAGCTTTGGTGCCTTCGCCGCAGAGCAGCAGTCGAATACGCGCCAATGAATTTTTTTTACGGGCGATTGCCGAACGTAATGTTACATGCCGCGGACGTCGTACGTGTCATTTCCATAAGCTATTGAGTGTGTGACACTTATCATACTAGTGCATCATGTTCTTAGCAGCATAAATTGAATGTTGACGTGTTGTATTCCCCATGTTTGACGTGTCGTATTCCCCAACAACAAAGAAAAAACTCTGCATTGGTCATCAGTCATCAGCTGGTTACATCGTCCAGCCGGCTAGCCGTAAATGCATAAGCTAGGCATCAAGTCTTTGCTTGGTTTTGATGGTTGTTGGCAGCCAAGTTAAGTTTACTTGGCCTGTTGCTCCGAAACACTTGGCCTCAAAATCACAGCATCTAAAACATTCTGTAGAAAACGAGTGAGCTCTTTGTTTATGCATGCGCAGCAAGCCTGTGCTTTATAGAGCTGTGCACGGAAAAATAGGTTTCCGTATTAATTCAACCAATGAAGAAGCAAATATATACATGCATAAATATACATAAACAAAGAGAGAGAGAGAGAGAGAGAGAGAGAGAGAGAGAGAGAGAGAGAGAGAGAGAGAGAGAGAGAGAGAGAGAGAGAGAGAGAGAGAGAGATTATATATATATATATATATATATATATATATAACACACGATTTGCCTTAAAATGCAATGACCGAAATGAAAATATATTTTTTGGGAGGGGGCCCAAACTCCAGGGGCCCCACAATGTCTCTGACAAAACCCTGTGTCAATGTAGCGACAGCCTTTAACCAAAGGGCACACTTATCGTTTATTTTTTCAACAGATGGGATGGTTTACCTTTCGTGTATGCGATATGTACCGTTTTTAATCTTATTTTATGTCGGCTGAATTTTTTTATGGTAGCAGTACTTTATGGTCACTTGTTCACCCTGGTTTCTGAGATAGTGGCGCTCTACAGACGTTCATAACGCAACTGGCGCATGTAATAGGGTATATTTGCTCGGCCCTCTCTTATTGGGTGGCGCAACCAGGCAGGTGTGTGGCGTATCTAGAACCGCGGAAACCGTGGAAAAGTCTAGCAGGAACAAGGCGGTTGTCTAGGCGTTCGCCTGTCGTAAAGCTTTCAAGGCTGCTGAATCGGACTTGGCCGAATCATTTCCTGTTTTCTAGCGTGACGTGCCTCTGCACCGCAACCCACGTCAAGAGCTGTCTTTAATGGCTTCAGTCTACATCCCGGCTTTCAGGTCTGCACGCAAGGTTAGTTCAGCCTGGACAGTGGGTGTGCTGGAGCTGTGGATAGTCAAAATAGAATTCTGAAGCTGGAACACTGTTAAGCATGCTCAATTCAGCTGGTTCTGCTATGAATTTTCTGTCTCCCCACTGCTCAGACATTTTGTGAGAGTGAAAGAATGATAGCATGGTTGCGTTTTATGGGAGATAGCAAATGTTAAAGCTGTGGACCAGCCTGAAAGCAATTTCCACTGAGCCAGACACCTATGTGACATTGCCATTTTGTTTTCCTGTACTGCACATTTGGGTGAAACACATGGCAGGGCAAATTGGGTTGAATTTTCACCTAATTTGTGCATAAAGAATACTTTTTGAGCAGTTCCTGGCTTAAATTGAATCTCTATATAGAACTTGATGATTGTGCACTAAACTCAAAGCACTTAGATTCATGGTTTGCATACACAAAACTTTTTGCATTAATATTGGGGTGTCTGCTATGCTTAACAGGCCCGATATTGTATTTTCGCGGTGGCGTTGGGTTAACCTGCAAGAAGCAAGTGGCTTCTCAAATTAGGATGGTGGGAAAGTGATTGTGATCTTAGATGGAGCTGGTACATATCAAAATAGAGGCAAAGACACATTGAGAAGCACTTAGACACTGACTGAATCAAGTGGGGGTTGAGGCTCACACCACTTTAAGAAAAGTGATTTCAATAAGACGACCTAAGAATGCTTTTTTAGACCGTAATATACCCACCAGTAGTAGAAAACAGCGGCTTTGTATCGTTTTACCCTCAAAAATGAATTAATCGATCTCATACCGGCGACGACGTTCGCAGTACACCACAGCGTCAAAAGATGGCGCTGTTAGATGGTTGGTAGACGAGTCAGCTGAGCGTTCGACAGTCAGCCGAGCATGGTGCGAAGCCCCCGTATTTATTCCAGCAAACACGCTACTTCTGGCAAAATGTGCTCCTAGGCTACCAAATAAGAGAAATTGTCTTGCTGTGCTCCCAGCAGCTACTGCTGTGAACACAAAACTGGCAAGCATAATGCGTGCATTTTGAATACGTAAGTGGCATGCATGGAGAAGTATAAGTGTATTAAGTATATGCCGACATGTAAGCGAAATGGAGCAGGACAAGGACGAGTCGGGAGGCCGCAAAATAAAAAAGGTTGACAGGCAGTGAGAAACATGTTTAAGATGACAAACTATAAAATAATTTGTTGTCTCTCTGGGGCGTGGGCATAACCATGACGCTGAGATCGCGGGGACGATCCAGGGCTGGGCGGGTGAGCCTGTAGTCGAGGGGACCTGGGATCGCGGGGACAATCCGGGGTTGGGCGGGTGAGCGTGTAGTCGAGAGGAGACAACCTGAACTGAAAATAATATTTTGAATTGGAAAATTTCAACAAGTAAGCATTCTACGGGCAGCGTTAGGGGAGGGTGTGGAGTGTGAACCACACATATATGGACATACCGCTCACATAAGGAACGGGGCAAACATCATGTTTCCGTCCCCCAATCTCCATAGAGGTTCCTCCATCACTGGGCATGATATGGCAGCCAGAGGACAAGAGATGAGGGATCATGTGGCGACAGGACAAAACAAGACAGGCTTGCACCCGGGGCGGGATGAGAGAGGACAGCATCGAACAGGATAGAGGAGATAAAGCATGGGGCAGATCACTGGTTAGGAACAGCAGTCGTTGGGACTTTACGACGCGCTTAGCTGCTGAGGCTATATGGCGTCGCCTGCCTCTCGCCTTGGCAAGAAAGGTGGGCACCACGGGGAATCGAACCCCGCACTTCTGGTTTCCCAGACGTGCAGTGGTTAAAGGGAGCGTTATACATTTGTATGAGGTTTTGAACTAAACTAGCGCTATTAAAGATCACTCGGTGCAGTTCACAGATGCGCCGTTAGATTAAGACCTAAAACCCTGTGGATTTTGAACTGCACGCTTGTCAAGATGTGCATACTATTTCGAGGTCACCCAGACACCCATGCCGCCATGCCATCATAACGTCATCCATATCATGTCATTCCATTGGCCATGCGGCGATCAATGCTAATGAAAATGTAGTTGTTGAGTCGCTCATACATGGCGTTCGTGGGCCGATTTAAGATATAACGGCCGTCAATTTGCATTAAGTCAATGTTGTGCAAGGTACGATGACTTAATCAAACAATGACGTACTGAGGAGCATATGTACTGGATTAACAACGTGTCGTCTAGATCAGTTTTTACTTAAAAGTATGCCAATTGTTATAAGTGAGCTTGTTTCGTCATATCTGATGATTTCTTCAACATCTTCAAATATGGAACATTCTCTTTAAGTATCACGTCCCATTGAACTAGAGGCATGCTGCAGTCTTAACATATTGGGGCCATCGCGGCAAAGCACCAGCATCTGCACTGGTCTATGCTAACCACACTGCCCAAATCCCAACTCTTCAAAACCCTGGCTAAATCCGGGATGGCTCATGTTGGAGCTAGCTGGGAATGTGCAACGTCAGGGCTATGACAGTCAGGCACACTGTATGTCATAATGGCGTGGAGTATAATGCACTCATAAGGTCAGGATCATGGCAGCTTATAAGGAGCAAATCTGTTATTTTGTTCATAGCTGCCAGCTCATATTGTTCCAGCCAGCCTATGGAAGTTCGCAAGGGTGCTATTGTCAATTGAATTGTGAAATAAGATATGAGCATTGTATCAATGACATTGAGCTCCAGATATACTGAGCTCCAGATGTACTGAGCCCCAGATGTACTGAGCTCCAGATGTGTTAAAATGTTTAAATGGCAGGTGGCCATGCCCTGCGCTGTCATTGTGGAAATGTGTGCAGATAACTGACAAGAGCTCCTCATTGCCATGCGGGGTGACTTGTTTTGGCCTGCAAATGATATGCCCAGTACCAAGACTATGTAGCAAGTACATTTCTCCAGTCCAGGAATGGGGCAGCAGTTATTGGGCAAGATCCGTTTAAAGTGACGACAGTCTGTGTCATGAAATGTTTTCCACCTCGGAAATTTCCTTAAATTGCATGCAAGGGAAGGGGAGTGGTGGGTTCTATCACTGTAACCTTATCAAACAGAAGGCTGTGGTTTCAACAATGTTTTTATTCAAATGAGAAAAAAGGCATATTACGCCCAATAGGGTAATCAAAAGGACAAGAAGTTGCGCAGGTCTCAAACAGCTTTGCAGTGGATTGGAATCCTCAGGTCTCGTGGTTCCCTCTGAATTTCAGGCATATGACTACGCCCAGTTGGAGGGTATGTGTGCCGGTTGTTTTTGTTGTCGGGGGCTGATTGAGGACATTAGAATTTATGTAAATTGAAGCATATTTGACTCAAGCTGAATGTTGAAGCAAACAGTAACATTCGCCCCTCCACCCCATAGTAATATCAACGTGACTGCAGGCTAAGTAAGGCTTTCCGAAGCTATGAGAAAATGAATGTGACTCAGATCTGTTAACTTGAGGTAGCCGGTCCGTCCGGCCGCTACGCTTCCTAAAAATTTATTTCATCACGTTCGCACAATTCTCAGCGCCGAGAAGTACAGTTCTTTAAAGATGTGCTTTACAGCCAGTTAAATGTTTGCACAGGGGCGCGACCGGGATTTTCTGAAAGGACAGGCCCGGACATCTGTAAGGACGCATCACGCTGACGTTTTGTCGGGAGCCATCGATGAAGCAAAAAGCGAAAAATCTAGACGTAAGTAGGCGTCCGGGCTTCGTGTCCCCCCCCCCCCCTAGCATGCAAGCTATTTGGTCAGGTGGTGTAATATCACCACGGTTTCATCGCTCCCATTCTATTAAATAAACAAGAGAAAATTCCAAGTTGCGAACGGCCTGGAGAACGTGGGTCGAGTCCGGGCCCAGATCTTGACGATCCGGCTTCGCAATGATGCGAAACTTATACGATCGGAGGAGAAAACCGGCGATCGCCCTGGGCAAATTACAAGTCGATGTACGCAAACCAGCCAAACGCAGTTCCGCTGGTTTTCGGCATCTTCAAGTGTTAGTGATATGTCAGCAACCAGAGAGGCGAAAGGCGTGGTACCAACTATACGGTGTACGTTATTATACCAACTGCAGCTCCCTGACAGCTCTCAACACTTCCCAACCCTAGATATGCCAGTTATCGACCGAAAAACCGCCAGTGTCACCTTTGAAACTCATCTGCGATGCAGGTCGCTGTGTCCTGTACCGGAGTACACTGGACTCTGGAGGCTACGCTGCTGTGGGGTTGTGGTGATTGTGACCAATATTTAAGGCGCCTTGTTGATATCTTGGCAGGGGTGTGGAAGCAGCAGGGAGGTGGGGTGTTGAATTTATGACACGCTCTTACCCATTGTTGACGCTCGTGGCCCGCACAAGAAACAGACCATTTGTATTCACACTGTTCCTTCCATCTCCAGTCCGATCCAGTTCCATTCCCTTGACCGATTTTGACCACCTTGGCCGCCTTGTCCATTTGCTTGCCATGGTCTTTGCCCAATCTTTGATCTAAAGACACGTCTCCCTCGACTCGTTTATGCCGTCGCCTGCTACTCGGGTGATGCTCGGGCACGCGGTCTTCGGCTTGCGAACTCAGCGGCCTGGGGTTTAGGTGGCTTGTGATTCCGCATGCTGAAGGCCGGTCTCCCAGCTATCAGTGACGTCATCCTTCACATTGTTAAACTCTTGCCATACACATTCAGATATCTCAGGCACTGGGAAACACTCCTTGATCCATCTCATGTTCAAGACCAGCAAGCCAGCAGACCGGTCGAGTATCCGTCCTATATCCCTCGTCCAACTTACCACCAAAATGGGAGAACGAATCGTCGCGCGGCAGTTTTGTGTAGTTTTACCCTTATCTGTCTCACGTGCGGCAGTTTTAGCCTTACCTATCTCACGTGCGGCAGTTTTGCCCTTACCTATCTCACGTGCGGCAGTCTCGCCCTTACCTGTCCCACTTGCAGTAGTTTTACCCTTACCTATCTCATGTGCGGCAGTTTCACCCTTACCCATTTCACGA